AAATGCAAACTCTTCGGCCCCACTCCATCTCCAGAAACTCTGGGGGTGCACCCTGCAGTCAGTATTTTAAAAATCCCACCAGGTGATTCTGATGCACACTCAAGTGTGGGAGCCACTGACCTAAGTGTCAGGTGGGGGCTTCTCTGTCTCCATCTTCCTTTAGGGCTGTCCCTAGTAGCGAGGTTCCTGTGAGAGGAAGCATACAGGCAGCTTCCGCAAGTCTGGCCTCTGGGCCTGACTCTGCTGCTTTTGGCTGACTCTGCTCCAGTCTGCTCTCTTCTCTGGGCCCCAGTTTCCTCCTCTAGAATGTGAGTGGGTCTGTCTAGGCCATGATGAGTTAAGGACCGATACACACACGCGCGTATGTGTAAAGTGCTGCACCGAGGTCTAGGAGGCAGTTGGCACTCACAACAGGGCTGCCCTGTGTGATTCTTCAGTGTCTTGGGGAGAGGATTATTGGACTGGGTGGGGCCTGGGAGAGAGATCCCCACGGGACCAGGCCGAGGTGATGCTCCTCAAGACCCTCCCCAGGGCTGTTTCACCTGCAGGGCTCCTTCTCCTTCTCTGTCTTGCGGCCCCCACTGCCTTACTGGTTTCCCCTGGTGGCTCTTCATTCGTAAGTTACTTGCCCATGATTCCTCATCTGGAGGTCTGTACTTGGGGAATCTTGCCTAAAATAGTTTCAAACTTCAATCCTTTGCTTGGGAACTCCACCCCGCAGGGGGTAAGGCTCACCCAGGCGAGCCTGGAGGAAAGCCATGGCTACCTTGCTGGCTGAGGTCGTCCACGAGGATGATCTCCTTCAGGAAGGCCCTGGGCACTGTGTCGAGGATGCTGTGTACAGTCCTCAGGAGGGTGGACCAGGCCTCGTCATGGAAACAGAGGATGACACTGGCTGTGGGCAGGCTGTCCTGAGGGTGCTGCTGCATACACCTGCAGGGAAGAGAGCCAGAGAGCCATGGGGAAGAGAAGCCCACAAGAAACATTCCACACCCTCTAATTCATTTCCCTTGCCCTGGTTGGGGTTGCTCCCATTATATGGCTCTCCTATGGGATCTCTTAAAATTCCCATTTAAAGAGAACCTGTTACGCCCCATAGTGGTGCTGTCCACTATCTCCCAATTCTCAGATCTCAAAAGCTCCTTTATCATTAAATCCAAAGTCCCTCCCATTGCAATTGAGAAGCATTGCCATTGTTCTTAGCAGATGACTGTCCTCATCTGTAAAATGGGAATGAATGACAATATTATCAACCTCACAAAGCTGTGGTGAGGCTTAGATAGGATGATGCACATAGTTAAGTGTCCAGTAATCTCTAACTGTCATCCATTCAAGGGCAGGGACACCACTTTCTTTATTTTTATGTTCCTACAATCTAGCATAGCACCTGGCACACAATTTTTATATGTTAGCACTTACTATTTTTAAAAATTTAACTTTAAGTTCCAGTATAGATGTGCAGGGCTTGCCGGTTTGTTACATAGGTAAATATGTGTCATAGTGGTTTGCTTACAAAAGGCACTTTCTTTTTTTCTTTCTTTTTTTTTTTCTTTTTGAGACGGAGTCTAGCTCTGTCGCCCAGGCTGGAGTGCAGTGGCACGATCTCGGCTCGCTGCAAGCTCCGCCTCCCGGGTTCACGCCATTCCCGAGTAACTCCCAAGCCTCCCGAGTAGCTGGGACTACAGGCACCTGCCACCACACCAGGCTAATTTTTTGTATTTTCAGTAGAGACGGGGCTTCACCATGTTAGTCAGGATCGTCTCAATCTGCTGACCTCGCGATCTACCCGCCTTGGCCTCCCAAAGTGCTGGGATTACAGGCATGAGCCACCCGCGCCTGGCCCAAAAGGCACTTTCTTAAGTTTCTGAAGCGCCTGTTTCTGGGTTGCAGCTGCTGCTCAAACCATGTTCCTCCTCAGAGGGACATTTGAATAGGAGCCATCTCAAGGACCCCAAACTTCGGACACCTAAAGGCATCTGTGAGGTGGAACTGCAGGCAGAGTGACAACCAGGCTGAGGCTGGCCCTGTCTGAGGGAAACACCTTCCAAGAGGTGTCAGCTCACACTGCTCGCTAGCCTGGTACCAGCCTAAGAAAGGCGGAAAACTCTCAATGCACAGGAAACCTGTGTGTGACTCTCAGGGCAAAATCCTGTGGAGAGAGGGAGAATTGAGTCTAGGTAACAGTAAACGGAATTCCTAAATAATTTTTAAAAACACATAAACATCTCATAAATTAGCTATTTTGTTGGTTTATAAATTTATAAGCTATTCATTTCCATAAATGATTTGAAGCCCCTCACAAAAAAATACACACGATACAAATACTTAAAATGATGGTAAAATAAAAATAAGGAGGAAAAGTCAGGAGCTGAGGAATATAAGTAAATGTAGAAAGTCAGCATTTGGAGAAAGAACATAAATATATAGGTTATAAGGGCCTAGGTATTTCTAGAATGGATTTAAATTTGACTCTGAGATTCCTGGTAGCCAAAGTAAAATGTTCATTCCGCAACAGAATGATCACCATTAGAGAAGTGACAGACAAGGTTTTTTGGGGAAAGCAAAACTCTTTCTAGTAATTTTTTTCTTTCAATTACCACTTTACCACTTTTTGTTTTGAAATAGTTTAAGACTGACAAGAAATTGCCAAAATAGTACAGAGAGTCCCTGTGTTCCCTTTACCCAGTTCCCCATAGTGAAAATATCTTACAGAACCATCCACAGTAAGCAAAACCAGGAATCCGACATGGTTCAATACTGTTAACTCAAACATCACATTCATTTTGAAGAGAAGATTTAACACCCATCTAACACTTATTTGAAAGAGAAATTCCTATGAACTTGAGAAAGAAATCCCTAAATGCATGGCAGCATTCTAAGAACCATCCTTAAAACAAATAAAATAATGGACTTTTATAGTTTGAATTCAGGGCTGTTCAAATAACATGTCCAAAATGGAACCAAAAAAACCCAAACTATTACTTGGGTTTATTGCCGGGAGACTGGCTATTTGCTAACTGAGATAGGAAAGGAGTCTGGGGACAGAGAGACCTGGGTTTGGAATTCCTGTGGGGGCAATTTAATAGTTTACCAAAGTCAGTCCTGTCTGCTCCAAGAACAGAGCACAGCTATGCCTGCCAGCCATGCCTGACTCCTTTCTCTGTCTCAGTTCATAGACTACGAGAATTGGAAACAATACAAGTGTGTGGTATGCACACACATGTGCACGTGTGTGTGTGTGTGTGTGCATCCTTGCAGTAAGACGGTCAAAAGAACTTAGACTTCGGAATCAGATATATTTAGATTTGAATGTTCACTCTGTTGCTTCCTAAGTTTCCTTGGGTAATTCACTCAATATTTATAGGTATCAGTTTCCTCATTTGGAAGGTAAGGGTAACCATAATTACCCTTTAGGCCCATTGAGACAATCAAAGAATAATAATAGGCACCCAATAGACAGTGACTGTTTTAGAGCTATCTTCCAAAAAGACACAAATGTAATTAGTATGAATGTTATATTTATGATCATCTTTGCAAATTATAGCTATCTTTAAACAACTATTCTACAGTATAGTATGAGACATCTACTGAACTGCTTTCAAGTTTGGGTTTCCCAACAGTTTCCACTTTAGAGCTTTTGGATATAGAATATACTAGAAGTGACATTCGAGAACTTCCAAGATGAAGCCTCAAGGCCTTCCAATGTAGCCTAATAGAGGATTAGAGGTTGCTTGAAGAAAAACTAAAGTGCCCCAGCTGAGGACCAGCATCAGCTGCCAGGTCTGAGAGCGAGGCCATCTTAGTATTCAGTGCAGTCAGCAGCCCTCTGACGGTAGCCACACGGGTGAACTCAGGAGGGATCAGCAGAAGAACTGCCTGGCTGAGTCCAGTCCAAATTACAGAACCATAACACAGAAATGGTTATTGTTTGAAATCACTAATTTTTTTTTTTTTTTTTTTTTTTTTTTTTTTTTTTTGAGACAGAGTCTTGTTCTTCTGCCCAGGCTGGAGTGCAGTGGCATTATCTCAGCTCACTGCAACCTCCACCTCCCAGGTTCAAGCGATTCTCCCACCTCGGCCTCCTGAGTAGCTGGGATTACAGACGTGCACCACCATGCCTGCCTAATTTTTGTATTTTTTGTAGAGATGGGGTTTCACCATGTTGGTCAGGCTGGTCTTGAACTCCTGACCTTGTGATCCACCTGCCTTGGCCTCCCAAAGTGCTGGGATTACAGGAGTGAGCCACCACGCCCAGCCTGAAATCACTAATGTTTTAATAACATTTTTATTGAGATACAATTCACATACCATAATGTCCACCCTTATAAAGTGTACAATTCCATGGATTCAAGTATAAAGGTGGGCAGCCATCACCACTATCTAGTTCGAGAACATTTGCAACACCCCACCCCCAAAAACCTACTACTCACTGGCAGTCAGTTTCCACTGCTACCGCAACTACCACAGCACATGGCAACCACTAACCTATTTTCTGTCTTTATAGACTGGCCTACTTTGAACACTTCATATGAATGAAATGACATAACATGTGGCCTTCTGTGACTGATTTCTTTCACTTAGCATAATGTTTTCAAGCTTCATCATGTTGTAGTCTGTATCAGTACTTCATTTCTTTTTACTGCCCAATATTTCCTTGTTTGAATATACCACATTTTGTTTGTCCATTCATCAGTTGATGGACATTTGGGTTGCTCCTATTTTGACTTATATTATGACTAATGCCACTATGAATATTCATGTATAAGTTTTTGAGTGAACATGTTTTTAATGTTCTTGAGTATATACCTGGGACTGGTATAACTGGTCATATGATAGCTCCATGTTTAACATTTTGGGGAACTGCCAAACTGTTTTCTAAAGCAGTTGCACCATTTTATAGTCCCACCAGCAATGTGTGAGTGTTCCAATTTCTCCACATCCTTGTCAGCACTTGCACTGTCTTTTACTTCAGCCATCCTAGTGGGAGTAAAATGACATCTCATTGTGGTTTTGATTTGTATTTTCCTACTGACGAATGATTTGAGCATCTTTTCATGTGCTATTGACCATTTTTAAGTCTTCTTTGAAGAAATGTCTATTCAAATCCTTTGCCCATTTTAAAATGGAGTGTTTTGTTGTTTAATTGTTGGGTTGTAAGGGTTCTTTCTGTATTTTGGATACAAATCTCCTATCTAATATAGGACTTACAAACATTTTCTTCTACTCTTGGATGGTGTTTTTCACTTTCTTGATGACATCCTTTGAAGAACCAAAGTTTTAAAAATATCTCTTTTTTAAAATCTACTAAGTTTTGATAAGGTGCATAATACAGCACTAGATCATGGACACACTTTCCCATTTTTAAGATGAGGAAACTAGAGCCCAGAGAGCTTAAATGACTGGTTTAAAGTTACACAGCAAATAACTGATAGTATACTGCTATCTATCTATCTATCTATCTAGCTAGCTAGCTAGCTAGCTAGCTATCATCTTTCTATCTATCTATCACCATCTTGGACTATAGCGCTAGCAGAATGTTCGGATTCAGAGTCATAAAGGGACAATGATGGAAGGTTATTTGAAAAACATGCGATCCATTAGTTCCTCCACACATTCTGC